AAAAATCAGTAAACTATTCTTTAAAAAAAAAAAAAAGGAGACTCCATAGGCTTACTGCCATCTATTTAAAAAGGAAAAGTAAAATGTGTAAATGTGTTCCTTTTATGTGCTATTTTATATCCATAATTGTTTTCTTTTTTCTATTTTTAGGTTTGGAGATGTTTCTTTGCAAGAAAGTATTAATCAGGAAAATTTTGAACTTCTAAAAGAATATTACACGATATTTATGGAAAAGATGCCTCCTGATTGTAAGTCTGAGAGCTATAGAAAACAATAATAATTGCTTGATTATAAATCTTCAGATGAGGTCGGACATAGAGGTCAATTGAAGAAAGAGTATGGGCTGGCGATGTGAGAGCGCTTTTGAGATTATCTGAGCCAAAAAGGCTGATTGCCAAGATGACACGGCCCACACCTGCCTCGTTGCCCTGATTGCTCTCTTGAAGGGGTCCTGCTGCTCATGCTAGGACCTCAACGTCAGTGCCACTGGAAAATGCCGACAGTTAAAATGAGGAACTTATCATTAGAGTCCAATAGAAATTTTGTGTCATTATTAAGCATATAAAATACTTTAGTAAAGGTTTAAGTTTTTGATTTATAAGCTACATCAGATGTATCATGCATATGCAAGGAAAAAATCAGAATACAAGTTCTATAGGGAATATAGAGTGACATGAAGTAGGGAACCAATTTATCACATACACTTACTGCAATATTTATGTGAAAAAATGTTAAGACATCTAAGCCTGCAGAAATTTGTTTTACACTTTTGGATTATTTATTTACTTATTTAGGCCATTGTTTGGTTCTGTCGCTCTTTTTCCCCACAAAATTAAGCACATAATATTTGAGTAGTCCAAAACCAATAATGTCTTTGGAGTTCATCCATAAGTAGTATAAATATGTTGAGATACTAAGTTTTAATAAAGTAAGAAATATTTTCATATTTTTAACCAACAGCTGTAATAAAAGTCTACCTGTCACTGAATTACTAGCAATCTGTTCACTGGTCTCTATTCTGACACTTAGTTTGAACCATCTTAGGTAGCAGAGTGTTTGGATCTTTTCATAGCACAGTGAATCTTGCCTGAATATATTATAATGGCATATGTTTGTCCATGTGTACATGTATAGTTAGAAAATTTCTCTTGAAGTTTTATTTTATTTCACATAAAATATTTTTAATGCCAAAATGAAATTGAGTACAGGGAAATTCTTTGGCAGCCAGCATACTTATGAATTTCAAATTTGTTAATTACTTGAAAACTTAATAATATAAACAAAACTATTTTGCATTAGTAATTAATTTTTAAAAAGAGTTTATTTAAGCCAAGTATGGAGATTGCAAGAATGAACAAACCCTTTCCTGTAAATCTTTGCTGAATCTTTATCTGAATTGAGAAGTAAATATCTGAAATTGGCGTCAGAGTTGTTGATGACGGTGAGGTCTGTTTGCTCTGTCTGGGTACTGTGTGCTGTAGATTTCTCCCTCCACATCTTCTTTGAATAGTGATCTACCTCTCTGTGTGACAACAAGGCAGTTGTTCTCTCTGCCTTGACTCTAAGGCACATTAAATCATCAGGATCTACTTCCCTTCACACCCTACCTGGCCTCTTTGATCAACTGAGATAACACTAGTGGGGCAGGTATTAGTGCTTCTCTCTCTTGGTCTGATCTTCCCATTGGGTTTCATGATCTCAGAAACCTTTCAGGGCCCCTTTCATGCCCACCTAGATCATTAAGACCACTAAATTTGGGGTTAACAAATAAAAAAATAAAATAAAGCACTTATATAAATCATTAGCACAAACTGTTCCGTGTTTTATAGCCACCATCACATTTGCTACATGATTTGGAGCAAATGTGATGGTGATTTGATTGGATAAAATGCTTCTTTCTCTACCCTTTAAGTGAGGAGTAAGCAAGTATCCATTTATCATCTCAGGTTTCTCTGTTCTCTCTAAGTAATAATACCCATCTCTTGCCCTTTTTCCAAACAAAGGAGAGGGATGTTTTCACACAGGCCTGTTGAAATGCTTCCCCCTATCGACTCCTATGTTAGAGCTACAAGGGAGAGCTTTCTGGCCTAGTGAGCTAAGAAGGTAGAACAGTCAGGGCCCTTTGTGAGATAAATATTGTAAACTATCTTTATAATACTTCATATCCCTGTCCCATATATAGTTGGTTTAGTGGCTCTGCAATATTAAAATGACTACCCCCACCCCATTTCATTATCTGCTACTCTTAGTGTTGCTACTATCCTACATCTAGTCCCCTTGTGATTAAAGGATGGCTGGTGTGCACTATTCCCATGCTCAACCAAAGAGATAAAGAGCTTTTCTTCCTTTTTGCATTTTATAGGGTCCTGAGCTTCTCTCAGCTGGAACATCATAGGTCACCCGCATACCCCTGAAATAATTGCCAAAGTCAGAGTCAAATGCCAAGTGGCTTAGATTTAGATGCACATCCTTGAACTAGTCCTGATTTCAAGGGTGCTCAAATTGCACCAGTTGACTTCAGAGTAAGAACATGATTGATCCCATGTAGACTTTATGCCCTCTACACAGTGGGAAATGGGTGGAACAGGTGCTGGGATGACAGCTGTAACTTCCATTTCACCTTGGAAGACCTGACAACCTGAAGTCATTGACCATGAGGAGATTAAACTATTGCCTTGGCCTCGTTAGTGTTACAGCTCAGTCAGCTGAGAGTTCACAGTCCCATTCCTGTTCATTGGTCAGCACCCTGTCCAGATTCAGGTCAATGTCAGATTCAGAGCTGTTGTTGTTGAAGAAGCCCCATTTGACAAAACGAGACAGGCGGTCCTCAAAAGTGCCTCTGGACTTGGCTGTTCTGTTCCATCGGGAAACTGAAGGAGTCAGTCCCTGGGTTTGTGAATGTTCTTGATCATGATCTCTGCATGCCCCTGCATCTGTAAGATAACATTCTCTACATCCTGAGAAAGTTGGCATCCTATCTGAGGCTCTGAACTCTTTTGTGAATGTCTTCCTTTGTTTTTCAGAGTTGACACAGGATTTAATAATGTGGCCTCTTCTGCCAAGACTTTTATTAATTGTTTTCCACTGCAAGTCGATGAAGCTTGACAGGGTTATTGTCCTTGTTTTGCAGTTGAGAAAATAGGGACAGAGGGTTAAGCAACTAGCCTAAGACCACACATCAAAGCAGGGACAGATCTGGCATGAGAAATCATTTTCCTGGAATTTTGGCTCAATACTTTCTTTAAAAACAGTTATGAAAGTTTCAATCAAACAAACAAAAAACAGATTATGAAATAACAAACACTCAAGAACTCATCCCTCAGCCTCACAGATTTTGTAAGAAAGAAATATTTTCAGTTGAAGGGGAAGCCCTATCTGGTTTCCGTCTCTAACCTTCCCCCCTAAGAAAATCAATACCCTGAATTTGGTGTTTTGCATCCTCATAGACATTTTTACTCCAAATGTATGTAACCATAGAAAATATGGTACAGTTTTGCACATTTACCTTTATATTATTGCTGTTATCATATATGAATCCTCCTATAATTTGCAATTTTTACTCAACATTTTTTGTATATATCCATGATGATACATACAGCATTTATTTATCTTACCTACTATATATTACATTGCAACACTGCATTACAGTTTTCTCTCTATGAAATTTATAAAATTTTTGTTTGATATTAAACAATAAAGAATGAACATTCTTGTAGCTTTCACCATTTTATTACATCCTTTAACCCCATTTGAATAGAGAATATTCCTATGGAGATAGGCATAGAGATTCATCACTCTGTCTAAATTTAGTGTTAGAGGAATGCAGGAATGCACAGCAAAAACAAGACTTATTGGCTATATTTACATTTGAGGAGACTGATTTTTAGTCTAAAACCAATTCATGTTCCCTGTATGCCATGATTTTCAGTGGACATATCAGGATCTATCATTATATCTTGAAATCTCACCTATTAATCTACAAACTAGACATTACTTATGAAACTTCTTTCAGGAACCAGATCTGAATTTCTGTGGCCTGCAAGACTTTTGTCAGGTTGAAGAAAAAAAAATTGGCACAAGCAAAGTGTTGGATTGATAGGGATATTCTCTGAATAAGGCAAGTTTTATTATGACAGAAATAGAAATAGTGATCCAAACACTGTAAGCACATCAAAGTGACTTCCTTCTAAAAAGCATGCCATCAAGAGAAGGGGTGAAATTACTAAGGAATGTCATGTCTGTCTATGCTAGAGCAGTATCTTTACGGGCAAAGGATGGCCATTTGATTTCTACTCAGGAACTGTATAGTTGGTTTAAAATGGCTGATTAAAAAATCTCCATGTCAATAATGAAACGAAATTATGTTGAAAAATCATTATGCTTTATTCTGGACTCTCAAAATTCTGAGGAAGCTGGTGCACTGTGTTAATACTGGAATTGCTTTTAGTACCCACAGCTAATTGTGAAGACATCAGCACAGATTTGGGATAAATTACTGGCACAGGAGTTGGGAGACTGTGTTTTCGATATTTGACTCTGCCTCTGACTATGAACTTTGTGAAAAAGTCACCTAAGCATCTTGGACATGAGGTTCCCCTAAATCAGTGCTTTGCACAATTTTTACATTTACCCTATATATATATTCTCTTGATTCAGACTAGCTATTCAGTAGTAAAAATTGGAAGGTTATATCTTATATCTCATCTATGCAATGCTTTGATTGAAGCAATCATCATCATGAAGAATGTTATTCTTGCTGGTATAATAGTATTATATGACCAGTTGACATTACCACAATGACACAGGATAAGGGGTGGGGGAAACTGATTCATATTTCTAAGTAGTGAATAAAACTAGGGGATTAATAAGTATGATTATCTTCACATAGTCTGCTCCAAATAATATTTGTTGTTATAGATTGCATTTGCAAATATATTGAGAAAAATTTCATGAGCAGCTTATACTATTTCCTTTTCCCCCCCAGACATTTCAAATTTTCAAGAACAAAATGATTTAAAAGGATTACTAGAAAATCTCCATCAAAATATTCAAGCCAAAAAGAGGAAGAACGTAGAAATCATGTGGCTGGCTGCAACGGTAAGCACTGTCCTGTCACATCTTACTTACTGTCACCATGAGGACCAGCAAGCATTACTGGGTGCCTGCTAGGTAGGGGCCAGCTTTTGCACTCTGAGTTGCCAGATGCCATCCTCCATCTAGGAGAGTAAGCATTTTCAGTGTCACTGGTAGTGCTATCAATAGACTAGAACACAAATTGGAAGAAGATGAACTCAATGAGAAAGAGTCCTTCTCATTGGCTTTTTTCATAAATCCCGGATGTGTTAGACACTTTGAAGTTAAAGGAAGTGTCTTTAATTTTCTTGATGTTGCATGTTTCAGTGTCAATAGCTCATATCATGCTCTAGAGACTCATAATTTCAACAGAATGTAGTTATCAGATCTCTGACTTACATCCTCAGTAAGGCTCCTGGACATATTGTTCAATTAATGAGCTTGTAAATGTGTTTGTTAATTTAGATATTGGCATAGAATGTATTACTGGTGGATTGCTCTCTGGGTAATGAGCTATATATGGTATGGTTCTTTCTCATTTAATGGCACCCTCAGGATAGAAGATCTTCCTGCTTTCCCACCCCAGGTTTCTACAAGAGTGAGCAAGAGAATCTTGCCTGTGGTTTGCAAGCTCCTATGTGGCAACCTTTCAAGCATAGCTCCTATGAACTTACAAATTTTGCTAAACATTCAGACCCTCAGGACTGGATCTTTTCATTAGGAAAGGCACACCTTGGAGATCTCTATGATGAATTCCATGTTTGTAGTTATTCTCAGCATTTCTCATGTAATTTGGAGTTAGGTTAACCCATCTTCTAGCATACTCTATCCATTCTCTATTAATAGCATTTAAAGCAGAGCCTTTCCCCCTGCTGCCAGGGCTTCAGTTATAATCCAATATTATTTCCTCTCTTCTGTGGAAAAGGAATGGATAATTTACCATGAGTCAAGATATAAAATAATTTACCAAGAGCAAGGCAGAGGAAAGCCGCTTTAGTTTCCCTTCCTGTCCTCTTGGAGCCACAGGGAAGGACATCAAAGGTAACAATATGAAGCATGGCTTTCAGGCAGCTCATTTACACTGGTTCCATTTAGCACCATAGTGCATTACATGAAGATTGTTTTTAATAGTTCTTCCCCCAGTGTGGCTGCTCTTTATATCTTCAAACACTAGTATGGTTGTTAATTCTCACAAAAAAATCACAAAGGGAGGTTGTAAGTTATTTTTGCTATTTCCCTAATAATGTTATAACATGAAGGAAGTCTGATTGCTTACCAAGGCCATCTGACAACTTGGATGCAGATCTATATTGATGTATATGTATCATGCAGTTATGTAAATAGGAAAATAAAGGATGAACACATGCAAACACAAATGTACATTTTTTCTTAGTATGTGTACTTTCTCATTTGAATATATAAAAGGTTTTCCCATAAATTCCATTCATTTCTGAAATGTATATACTGACCAAATATGTTTTACTCACAACTTCCAGTTGTGCGAAAGTACCTGCCTCAATGAATACACAGCACTCGTAATGTGGAAATTTGGAACATTGACTTCATTGTTAATAGCATATCTGTAGGCTGATACCTCAGTTTCAATATCCTGTAAACCAAGGACCATGATAATACTCTTAAAATGAAGAAATACAGAAATCCCTTTTGACATTTTCCAAAAAGCTTTTACTTCTGCCTCTAGTTCCTTTTCCCCCTCTTCTTTAAATCTATTAATGAAAATACTGCTTTTGATAAATTTTTACAATCTAATTGAAAAATATAAAGCTATTTGGTTTAATCATAACTGCATTAAAAGAAATAAAACTGAGAATCTGAAGACCAAATGCCAACCAGATGTGTTAAATTAAGCTCATATAGTTAAAAAGTTGTAAAAACCTAGAAATCAAGACCCAACTCTTCTCGATTTTAAATTTAAAACACTAAGTATCCTTAGTAGGATATTACATATAATAGTGACAATATCGTTTTTAAATATTCATTCTTTTAAAAAAGCATAGCTCATAAGTAGACATTGAGGTTTATGTTTTATTACCATGAATATAGTCCAACCTTTGTTATTTTACATTAAAATTTTTGAAATACTGTTTATTTGAAAGGATGTGAGTTCTCTGGATGGATAAAGTTTATATGGTGAAATCATGCTCTCATATTTCTCTAGTGACTTCTATTGGAAATAATGAGAAAATACCAAAGGTTCTAATAAGGTCTGGGAAATGCTAGGTTAACTATAAAAATCACCACTAAGACACAATATAAATTCTTGACAAACTGTATTATATACTCTCCTCAAAACTTACAACTATTAAGGCCTCCTTGATGGCAGAGAATTAAAGCAGGCTTGTATTATATCACATTAGGTTTATTTTAAGTGCATGTTGGTTAGCATTGTTGATGCTCAAGTTGATTGTTGGTATCTCATATCAGGGCTCTACCATGGGAAGGGAAGAGAAAGGAATGGAATGAGTCACCTTTTAACTGTAAGGTGATAACAGAAGAGATTATTGCTTCTCCTGATTTACATCAGAATAACAAAAAAGAATTACAAAGAAAAACAGAATTGGATGGAAGTTAAAGACTTGGTTCTTAGAGTTAGGTAGACTTACATTAGCCTCATGGTTCTACTTTTTTGTTCACAAGTTACTTAACTCATCCAAACCTTAATGTCCTTATCTGTAAAATGAAAATAATTATACCTTCCTCCAGGGTTCATGTGCAGTTAATTAAATTTCAAGTATATATGATATTTATTAGTTTGGTACCTGGTACACAGTAGCTGTGCGATTAGCAGTGGCCATTTGGGGAGGGGGGTCCTTATTTTTATTAGTCATATTGATGAGTGGTTAGTGCTTCCCTCATCTGCTGCACTGGTACCATTTGGATCTTTGAAATTTCATGACATAAAACCAAGACTAGCAAAGATTGCTTAAAAGTAAAGTAAGATATTAGTTATTTAAGATTCAAATCAAGTGTCTGATCCCCTTCACAATTAAGGTGTTGTTCCTAAGCTGTGATCATCACAGTTATCCACTGCAGCTCGGGCCCCTTTCCAGGGAGCATTGCTGCCTCGGCTGGATATTGACCATCCCATGTGACTTCAACAGTCCCACGCCTCACTCCACACAAAGAACTACATAAAATCTGTTCTACTAACTTGTGAAATGAACAGGTGTTTTTACATTCAATAGGACAGACTGAACCAACAGATTATCACAGATTAACATAAATTTAGTGTGTTTAAACAAGAAGAGTTTAGGAGTCCCACCCTTTAGAGTAACCAACTGATGAACAATAAATGGTTTATACATCTGTGTTACAGATTTGTCGAAAACTAAACGGTATTCGTTTCACCTGTTGTAAAAGTGCCAAAGACAGGACGTCGATGTCAGTGACGCTTGAACAATGCTCCATCTTGAGAGACGAGCACCAGTTGCACAAGGACTTCTTCATCCGCGCGCTGGACTGTATGAGAAGGTATTCACCTGTCTAACTTTCTTTCTCTTACAGTCATTTTAAGTTTTTTGTTGTTGTTTTGTTTGTTTGTTTGTTTTCCAAATGCATATTTTACTGGAGTACTAACCACTTAATAACTTCACTGCATTTCCGTGGTTTATAGCTCATGACATGAGCTCACTCCCCCTACTCATTTTAGGCAATACAAGAGAATGTGGCTGGATTTTGATAATATGCATGGAGGCTCTACTTCACTAGCTCATTTAGACCTAAGTTAACAGGCTCTAGTGTTTTCCTATATAACACTTGAAGAACACAGTTTCTTTATATATAAGTAGTTATAGATATACACAAATTAAAACTAAGTTTTTATCCAAAGAAAATATTGCAACTAGCAGGTGATCCTCTTATGGGTTGCAGGGTCTCCAGGTTGATAACCTCCTTTCTAAAATTATTTTGACATCACTCATCATAAAGATGGGATGACACTGATTCTTTAAAATAGAGAATTCACATTGTTACTCTGCTGACATTTAAGATACAGTGCCTGAAGTCATATGTATCTTGATTCGTTTCCACAGTAATTAAATCTAAAGTCAAAGCCATAACGGGAAGGAAAAAGTGACCCATTCACAATGTCTGTCAGCAAGGACACACATTAACTAAAAAGTTAAACGAAATAGCCCCTTTGCTACGGAGACTGATTCAGAAGCACACCAGGAAGCCTGGGGCAGGCTCCTTGTTCCCGGGAAGGAATGTCATGTGATGCTCTCGATAGGGTTGCTTCTGATCTACCATGTCATTCATTAGCTTCCACTTTTCTTTGAACTGCTGTGGTCTTTCAATGGAGACTTTGCCGCTTTCTGTGCCTGTATGTTTTCCCCACTAATGAGAGGTTTCTGAAGTCCTCTGTTTTACCCATTTCATGTCTCTTGGCATGTCCATTATTCAGTGGAGTTCTATCATAATTTTTTGATAGATGCATGAGGATGTATGTCTTAGAGGCCTGACATGAACATCTGAGCCATATAAAACACGTTTGGTTGATATAAAATCTTCTTTCAAAAATAATCTCGCTTTTCAAAAGTAATCTATGAGGCCTAATGGGGGAAATTCAGAATCAGAGTATGAAATCTCCTAATGTGCATACAAAGAATAAGTGTTACCATAGATGAACAAAGGGGCTGGAGAGGAGAGCGGGAACATATGATATTACAGACCAGAGATACTAGAGGACTAAAATGATTCAACCAACATAAATCAGCTGGAAGGTGAAAGTGTTATTTATTTAAGGTGGAGGTAATGGTTATTTTCGACAGTATTTTCCAATGTGCAGGGTTTTGGGGAAGGGAGAGGATTTGCAGAACTGCTCTCTGCTATCTGGGGAGCCCTACAGTCCAGTGGCTTTAAAATGCACATCAGAATCACTGTTTTAAAGGAGTTTAATTTTTATGTTTTTGGATGTATTGAAGTTTTTTTTATTTTATTTAACATCCATTGCTATTTATTTTACTCTGAATTCTTTGAAAGTGCACCCAGGTTATAATATCACTGCTTTCCTGCTTTTATTTTTTTCCCTATCTATATTGTGTTTGTCTCTGTAAGAGTTTCAAATTATTATATATAGATGAGCAAAATGTTGTTGATAAAAATAAATAAATAAAGCTTCATCTATCTGCTATTCAGAAACCCCCACACCAGAATAAGCTCCACGAGAATAGGTATTTCTGTTTTCCTTTGTTCACTGCAATAGCACCATACCTAGAACAATGCCTGGTGATAGCAGGTTCTCAATAAATATTCTATGAACGAGTGAATGAATGAATGAATGAAGTTCATGTTTTATATATTAGGAAGTTTTGTACATGCATAGGCATTTGGAATTAAATACATCAAATTATCACTCAGTTGTGACATATTTATAAGCAAAAGTTCCATGTGGTGAAAGTGGGAGCTTTGGAGAAGTGATGATACAAAATCAAAACAAACAGGCTACTAACAACGTACCTTACGCCACAGTGTGTATCCCCCGTTTGTGCAGTGTTCAACAATTTCATTCTCTATTTTCCTACACATCCAGTATTTACTTGCAGCTGCACACTCCCAACATGAGTCTCTAGCTGCAATCTGACTGATATGGAAAAAGAAGACCGTCTTCAGATTAGTAAGGTAGCAAGGTACCTGGGTAGATCTTACTCTGTAAGGAACTCTTAGTAGTTGCCTATATTGCAAGACCAAAGCAGTGATTCACAACCCTCAGTGCCCATTTGAAACTCTGGGGGCTGGAGGTGACTGGCAGGAGTCCCGCCATCGACAAGCCAATGGGATGGAGCCAGGGGGGAAACCACTTGACTAAAGGCAGCCTCACCTAAACCAGGCACCCTTCAGCGATTGATTTCAGTGGCTTTGTGGTAAGTCCGTGAGCCTGGTCTACATACCCTTTCTTTGAGTTTTGAGGTGTATGTGTATTGTTAATTCCCCCTTGATCATCTACAGCAGAAATTTACAACATGGTGGCCGCATAATCAGCAGATTATTTTTTTTTTAAAGAAAGGGAGAAGTCAGTGTCAGCACTTGGTTTTCAGTTACAAACTCTCCACTGAATGCCATCTTGTCCCAGTGCATTTGAAGAAAGCATTTTTGTATGGATTTTAAAATTCTATTTGATTAATTAGTGATTAGAATTGGAATTAAAATACAGAATTTGACTGGAGTATAAAATGTAATGTTTTATCAAAAATGATTGTGTTAGGAAATTTCGTTACCACTAAAAAGTAAACTAAAATGAACAGGCCGGTCCCTGCTATTTCCCTTATAGGAAGTCTGGCGTTATGTGTTTATATAGTGTAACAGCATCACTTAGTTGGCTGTCTGTAACTTATTTTCCTTATGCTACATTACCCTGCAATCTGTCATTTCATAATGGCTAAGTAAAATTAAGATAGCTGATATGTCGTTAGTAAAATTAATCAGGGTATGTTTCAGCCTGCAATCTATTTATCAACCTTAAGATTCAGGGCTTTAATCATTCTATTTTAGTAAATACTTAATTCATAAGACAAAAACTAAAAGGCCCATCAGCCCTAGTGAGTTTTATTATCTTGTCGATATGTCATGTTCTCAACATGTTGCACCTGAAATTTTTATGTTGGGGGAGCATAGTTTATCAAATGTTCTGCTTTATAAATAAGTGACCCTTCATTAGTTGACATCAGTAAAAGTTTTATGTTTTTATTTCTCAGGACTTGCTCCTTTGTTGGTATCACTTTTTTTTTCCCTCAGTACTCACCCAAGGACATTTTTTTCCATTGACTTTTCTTTTTTTAGATAGAGTAAAGAAAGGTAGGCGAGAGAGAGAGAAAAGAAATACCGACGTGAGAGAGACTCATGGATTGGTTGCCTCCTGCAACTGACGTATGTGCCCTAGACCAGGAAGGAATTGAACCCGTGACCCTTCAGTCTGTGAGTGGATGCTCTAACCACTGAGCCAAACCAAATAGGGCTGTTGGTATCACTTTTGACTCATGTAGTTCATTTGTGTTGAAATAGAAAGATGTCTTCTTTCTTTAGTCTTGTTTCCACTTTGTCTTATATTTCTTTGCTTTTGTTTGTACTAGTCAGAGGAGAACTGCTATTTTTTCATATTACCCCCTATTTCAAATATTAAAGCGAATAATAAGCATCATAGACATAGGTAATTGAAGCTTTCCGTTATTTCTTGACTACTTGAAAGGGGTGTGTTTGCGTAGGAAATCATCAGCGGGAACAGTTTTTCCATTATCACTAAGTGTTATCTCTTCCCTTGAGAATTTCAGTGGTGCTTTTACTGCACTGCTTTAGTTCATATCTGTGACAAATAACAGTAATAAGTCCAAATGGAGTCACCGTCGTCTTAGCTTTGCTAATAATTACATGAAAACCGACCCCATTTAGGATGTTTTTGCTTCGGCTGACACTAAGGTAAAAGATACTGTGAAGAACACACTGCTTTAGAAATCACATTGGAGCAAGTAACTGTTAACAAGAGATCCACAGATGAACCACGAACGGAGAACCAATCTTACCAGAGTGATTAAAATAACCTGCAACAGACTTTCAACTTCCTGAACAAAATGTGTGTGCTAGGTTTAAGAGCAGCTACCGACTTTATACACACCATTCCAAATAAGTCATTTCTTTCAATTCTTGACATTATTAACTGGGGACCTAGACATATAAATGTACAGAATATATGTTTCTTAATCAATTCATGAAATCAAATAAAAATAAAAATAAAGCTAGTTAAAATAAACAGATTTCACTTCTGTCACAAACACAGGTTTTTAACATCAGAAAGGCCTGAGGTTAAAAATCCATATTGTAACACTTATTATCTGTGTAGCTTTGGATGAGTTCATTCATCTCCTGGCCTCAGTGTCCTAATCTGTAAACTAGGGATAACAATACCTTTCTGTCCTGTAGGTGCTGTCAAATGAGGTCACTTATTTAAAGTCTCTGTGCCCAGCCCGGCCGGGCATGGCTCAGTGGTTAAGCATCAACCTAGGATCCAGGTGATCAGGGTTCGATTCCCGGTCAGGGCACATGCCCGGGTTGCGGGCTCAATCAATGACTCTCTCATCATTGATGTTTCTATCTCTCTCTCTCTCCCTCTCCTTTCCTCTCTGAAATCAATAAAGATATTTAAAAAATAAATAAAATAAAATAAAAATAAAGTCTCTGTGCCCAGGGGACAGTAGGTGCTCTGCTTAATCAGTGTTACCCTTGCTCCCCATGCTGTCCCACTTCTGTCTACCCTGAGCATGCTTCCCTATCCCATGCTTCCTGTGAGTACTTCCTCTGAAACTCCTGAAATTGAGGAATTTCCCTGGTCTTCAAGGTCTTAGAAGAAAAGTCCCAGAATTAATATTTGATTTCTGAAAGTCTTAAACTATCTCTCTTTGATCATGGGAGAGAAGGTTTGGGGATCAAGGAGCAGCTGAGCCTGGAACAAGACATTATCTGTGGTCCACAGATAACAGGGC